GTTTCGCTATGCTCGACGTTGACAGAGTCTACATCCAAACCTGGAATGGCCGCTGCAGCACCAAAACCTTAAGCCCCGTGCTTCTCCCGAAGCCCTTAACCCTGCCAATCCTAACACGCAAAGAAGAATACTGTAAACCATCATTATCACCCTAAACCCTAACACAAAAGAGCCTCCACGCCTGGTGAATGAGCTTCGCTACCACTCCGGCAGCTCGCTCAGGAAGTGGCACCATAGGCAGCGGTGTGCGCGGGATCCGCGGCATGGAACAAGTAAGGATTAGAGTGCAGGGCTTGGGGCTGAAGGGTTTAAGGGCTTAGGGTTGTTGGGTAAGGGTAAGAGCTTTCGATCTATAGTACGGGCTTAGAGCTTCAGGGTTGTATGATCTGTGTCGCTGGTGTGTGAGAGGCTGTTACTGCTAGTCTTTTCGCCATGGGCATGTTGCCAAAGTTCGCTCCTGGGCGATGCCCACACCTAGCTTTTGTTGCTTAGGCAAAAGCACCCTACCTTAAAGAGGGATTAGAATAGGGATCCCCTGATTAATAAACCTCCACCTTATAAACGGTGTTAGGGTCCGAATTTCGGCAGGGGTCTAAGTTACCGATTTCCAGACTCTTCTTGGTGTATATGAATAATGTCATAGCATAGGTTATGATAAGGAGCTCTAAGGGATATCATTGGTAACTAGTCCAAGTCCGGCTTCTGCATTGCACCGGCGCCCCCCAAAGAGCCGAAATCGCGTGTTCAAGCGGGCCATCTGAAAGCAAAACGAGCACGGCACTCGAGCTGGCCTTGCGGCTTCAGCAGCAAAACGTAAGGGCCCAACTAATTGGACTAGGGAGGGCTTGAGGGGGTATTAGAGCATAATTGTGCAGGGACTAATCCTAGGACTGAGTATTCGAACAGCTTGTACGAAGCGTCTCACACCTAGCGCAAGAGTCCCGTAGTGTTACCTCACAGTTAGGGCCTCAATACCTGAACCCTTGCCCATCTGGAACCACGAACCCCTAACCCCAAACCGTGAATAAAATAACACCCAAAACCTTCACCGCCCTGAACATCCTGGCCCTTAGTCCCAAAATCCCTACAAATCCCAGCTCACCAGAATCCCTAAACCCTATAAACCCCTAAAGCCCTAAAGACACCTTTTTCGAATCCAGGCTGCAAGAGCCGAAACACAAAAAAAAACACGCCTATACACCGTAGCTCCCCCAGAATCCCCCAAGACCCCGATGATACTTAAACCCTAATTCAAAAAGAACTTTTTAACCCCAGCTCCCCCCCTACCCGTTTTTGAGGAACCCTAAAGACACCTGTTCTTGAGGAACCCTAAACCCTAAAGATACCTAAATAAACCCCCAAAATTTCCAAAAGCCCTCACAGCCGGGCCCTGTTTTCACGTTGCGGGCTCTTCTTTGGGCTCACACACGTAGCCGAAGATCCGGGTCGCCTCAGCGAATTACGGTTAAGGCTTTGTCCCCTTTCAGGGTTTAGGGTTTAGGGTGTAGGGTTTAGGGTGTAGGCTTTAGGGTCTAGGGCTCAGGAAGTTTAGGGTGCAGGGTGTAACTGTGGCCCACAAAGGAGTCCTTTGAAGGAAGTAGGTATAATAAGGGTTGGTTTTCGGCTACACCTAGGGTTTAGGGCCGGCGGCTCTTTTTACAAACTCAGGTTTCGGGCTATGGGGATAGGACTTAGGGTGTAGGGTTTAGGTTTAGGGTTTAGGTTGCTTAGGCTTGACGGTTTGAGGCAGTTGTTGTTGCTGCTTCTGCACGAATATACATAGTTTGTTGATGCGAGGTGCTTACAGTAAGGGTTTTCAGGCCTTCTCAGGGTGCGTTTTAGCATTTTGGAGTGTACTTTGACCGAGCATGGTAGTAAGACGAGGATCTTGAGCACTTGGGGTACAAAGTTTCAGGGCTCGGGGCGTACAACACAGAAACCCAACAGACTCAACAGACTAAGCCCTGGCAAGCCGCCGCGGGCTATCTTGGTAGTACGTCGTAAGTGCTCACGGTGGATGTGCTGCAACATGCGCAGACATCAGAGTTGTTGTAGGTTGAGACATTCGCCCCGGGGCTTCCGCTGGAGTGGTGGAACGAGCGACTTAGCTTATCCAAACCCTAAGCCCTAAACCCTAACTCCAAACTCTCTTGGTTTCAACATTGCTCCAGGACTTCAGCTTTAGCAGCACAAAACCCACCCCCCAGGAGTCGGTCTCTGCTTAATGGATCTTCTTGGCATGCATGGCTCACTATGAGAAAAAAACCCGAAACCCTTAACCCCTTCTAGTACCCCTCATATCCCTTCACAGGAACCATCATTTTTTGGAACCCTAAACCCTGAAGCCCAGTTGTCTGCTGGGCTTCAGATCTCACCTTCGGCAGCTCCACCACGGTCGGTGGGCTTAGCACCAAAGGCACCTTCACGGGCTGTCCCGGAGGTGATGTAGATGTGTGCATGTGTGTCTGTGTGTGTCTGTGTCTGTCTGGGTCTGTGTCTGTGACTGTGTCTGTCTGGGTCTGGGTCTGTGTCTGTGTCTG